AGTAAACAGAATTTTGACCTGTGATCAGCAGTGAGCCAGGGAAAGAAAAAAAAAGGGCACCTTAGCCTTGTGGAAGGTAAGTGCCAAGACGCTGATATAATAAATAACAATAAATATAATTAACAGTGCACAGTAAATTCTAGGGGCTGCATAAAGATGTGAGTGAGAAATGAAGCTGGCGAGATAAGCAGGGGCCTTTCTGATAGGCTAAGGGCTATGGAGGAATTCAAGGATGAACAGGACGTGATTTACACCCTCATGTAACTAAGAGTCTCATTGGGACAAAAGGCAGACATGCAACCTTTTAAATAACAACATGGGAAATCATACATCTGATCTGGTGACAAGACCAGTGTTTAGAGAGACAATGTGAGCTGGTTCAGGGAATTCTAATTTGTTGAATAAACTTTCTCAGAAAGTAAAGTTTGTAGATCAAGGACAGCTCAGAGGAAATGTTGAGTTTTGAGAAGGGGGTACTATAAGGGAACAAGTTATTGGACTCAGTAAATTCCTTTTCTTAATGGAAACATTAAACACAGGGAGGAAGTGGGAAGAGTGTTGTTACATTGTAGTTAATGTCACGAATCAAAATGTGTATAAATTGTTGAATGGAAAATTAATTTGCTCTGTGAACTCTAACCCCTCATTCAAATCACAATAGAAAGATTTTTTTTAAATGGTGTTAAGATACATCTGAAACAGAGAAAAATGGTAATAATAATAAAACTCACAAAATAAGCTTCCAGAAAATCTTTTAAAGGTTGAAAAGCATTCTACATCTCAATTTACAAAAGTAATTTTAAATATTTAAATCAGGAAAGATTAGTTTCTCCTCAAGAAAACATGACAGGCAGCAGAAATGAAATGTTTGGATTAGAAGTATAGCTGATTCTAACATAAGAGAGGGAGATCTTTCCCCATGGTTGGTGAGAAGCCAAGAAGTAAAAATAGCTTCCCACTTTGACCATCTGTTCTAGTCATACTCTATGGCTTTGTTTTCTTGTCATGTCCACCAATGTGTTAATTTCATTTTTATGTTCACTAATGCCCTGACTCATGACACAATGGGATCTATAGAGTTTTTGTTGGCTAATTTTCAGAAGTAGGTCACCAAGCTTTTTTTCTTAGCCTGTCTCGGTCTGGAAACACCACTAAAACTTGCTCAGCATCATAGTAACATGCAAGTTTCCACTGACAAACCGTAGCTGTGCTTGAGATACTTTACCAATAGAATCCAGGTCTCCTGCATAGAAGGAGTGGCATTCTACCACTGTTGCCCCTTCCCTCTGCCCACATTTGAATTACAGTCGTATCAATATATCAGTATATTAAAATGTAAAACAATGTGGAAAAGGTGCTATTTGGAAGGATTTACTAAAAGGCTTATGGGAGAGAACACTCCCCCTGCTCCAGCTTCTCTCTCCCTAGTTACACTTTCAACTCAGGCTGTGACAAGAAGCACTAGACATTTACCCCAGTGAGAACTTTCCAATAATCAGAACTCACTGAAACTGGAGTATGTCGCCACAAGCTTCCTGATGCAAAATGTAATCAGATAGTGACTGGAGGAACACCTAGTGAGGTGATGTATCCGGAATCTGGTGTGAAGTAGCAGTTAGACGTATCCCATAGGATCTCTCCTGATGTTGAGTTGGTTTCATAGATCCTTGTTGCACTAAGTGGAATTCAGATGGGAGTGAGAACAGTGTGTTGCTTTCAGGGAAGGCTTGGGGAAGTTGCAAGGGGAGCAATTGAATGGGTGGGACCTGAATAGGCAATGATAGTTTAAGCCTGGTGGGAAAGGCACATGGAAACTGCATCCTAAGGGCAGCCAAGCATGGAACCCAAGGAATCAGAAAGTGCTGAGGGCCATACATGCAAAATATCTTTTTGCCTGAGGGTTTAGGTCTACAAGGGAGAGAGTTTTGTGAAGTTAGGGGATACCATCTGATCAAAGCTTCCGGTTGTCAGAATCCCAGTTCTGCCATGTCCTAGATGGCAAATCTTGGGCAAGTTCCTTCACCTGGTTAAGCCTTAGTTTTCTCATAAGTCAGTTGGAGCTATATCTACCTACTCCACAGGGGTTTTGTGCATTAAGCTGAATTATAAAGCACCTAGTCCAAATCTGGCACCATGCAAAGGTCCAGTAAATGATCATGTATTTCACTCCTTCTCTTTTGAGCTCCCACCTCGGGATATCTGTCATTTCTCCCCTCAGGGTCTGCGTTTCTGAACTGTTTGAGCTGGTAGCTTGGGCGGGAGCAGACTTGACACTCCAAACTTAAAAGAGTACAGATTTCCCCTACTGCACACCGTGGGAGGCGCCTGGGCAAGCTTTGGGAGCTCGCCAGTGCAGACAGGTATTTCCAGTCTGGTGAGAAAAGAAAAAACGGTGGAGGTGGGGATGGGGATAGGGAGGGGGGGGAGGAGATCCGGTGAGCCCAGGGGAGCTGGGTGGATCCCCTGGGAGGAGGGCGGGGAGTCCCTGCCTGGTGTTCCTGCCCCCAGGTTCAGATTTCAACCCGAGCTACTGCCTCTGCGGCTCTCTTAGCTTATTACGGGAGGAAAGAGGGTCGAAGGTGGGTTATAAAGGAAAGTGGGCATGAACAGAGCCAGTTAAGGAGTCCTCTCCTGTGGTCCTCTGAAGCAAGGGCCTTAGCCAGGTAGCCCCTCAAGCTTGCAGCTGGAAGAGGGGGCCTTGCCTTTCTATGCAGGGTTGTATAGAGCTCCACGAGGGGGCGACCTGAGCCCACGTGCCACCGCGTCCTTCTATCCCGAAACTACAACTCCCAGGCCGCTCAGAGGTCCTGCCCGCCTCGCCTCGCCTTCTGTTGGTTCCAATTGGCCGCCAAGGGAGGGGGATTGGCGGTCTCCAGGACAACGGGAGGCGCTCGGGGCATCCGAGGCGGGGAGGCGGGTCCGCCCCCTATTGTGTAGCTGGAAGAGTGGAGCCGAGCGGTGCGGAGCAGGTGAGGGCGGGGGCGTTTTGGGGGGAATAAAACTGGGGGTGCTGGAGAGAGGGTGGAGAACATTGCTGGAGTTATGGGGGGACTGGAGGAGCGGGGAGTTGGGGACTGAAGTGGAATTCTTAGGGGAGCAGAACTAGGGGAGTTATGAGAGTGAAGTGGTATCCTTGTCTGGATTGGGGGGTGGGGGTGCCGGTGAACTGGAGTTCTGGAGTTTCAGTGGGGGAGTTCTTGGTGGGTTTCAAAAGCAAGGAGGAGTACTAAGGGTCTGTGAATACGAAGAAGGGGCTTATTGAGGTGGGGAGCCTGAGCGGATTGTAGACAGAAGCAGGAGAATCCCGAATCTCGGGGAGGGAGATTTTGAGGAGGGAAAGATGGGGAGAAGTGGAAGGGAGATCTGGAAAAGACACTAAGGAAGCTTTTGAGGGTTTAGAGGACCTGGTGAAATTGGGGATCAGGTGTGAGGCGCTTGAGTTTTGGGGAGACCGAGAGATACAGGGACACCTGGGGAGGGAGCACTAGTGTTTGGTGGGAGGAGTAGGAAATAGTGGGGGCCAAAGTAGTTGGAAAGATCTTAAGGAATGCAGAGGATTTCCAGCGGTACCAACGTTACTGATGTTCTTGGAAAATGGAACCAGAAGAGAATTTGGGAATGGTATATGGTTAGGGAGAGATATTTTAGGGGAATACAGGGGCTAACTAGGGGTGGTGGAAGACAGGGGGAATGGTTGCTGATGATTTGCTAGGAGTTAGACATATGGGGCACTAATTTGAGGCAGGGATTATGCTTACAGCCTGTTGTTTTATAGCCTGTCCAGTAAAGTGAGACTGAAGGTTGGGTGAAGGCCCTAGAGCAGAGCCTAGTTGGATTTACCAGGCCCAAGACAGAGATTCTAGCCCTAGCTCACTGTTTCTATGCTAAGACCCCACTCCATGCTCTAGGGATCCCTTCATACATCCCAGGGATTCCCAGGCTTTGGGACTTGTCTTGGATCATGCCCCTGGGGTTGGTGAAGGGAGGTCTGGAAAATCCAGGAGCCCCAAAGATTCTGGAGGGGAGTGAATGGGAGGAATTGGGTACCACGTGGGCCATGGTACCTGGCAGAGGGAGGGCTTGCCTGCTGGCATCCTGAAAGGGAAGTGGCGCCACTGCCTGCCAGGGGACCTGTCCAGACCTGGAGGATGTTGCCTGGGCCACCACCCCCACCTCTCATACCAGCAGGTGGGGAGGCAGCTTCTCCTCCTCCAACAATCTGACTCACTCACTGCTAAGCTAGAGTCCCTGCTAGGAGACTGCTTTGGGGAAAGAGGCCACAGGACCCCCAGATTCTAAGTACTTCCCAGAGATTAGGGAAATGGGGCAAGGGATTGTGTGGGACACCCTGTGGACCACTGTTTTAGGGGTTTAGGGACCTGTATTCTCATTGTGGCGCTTTGGGTTCATGCACCCAACTGCAAAGCCATTTGAACTGCAAGGTTGGCGGTTCAAGCTCACCAGCTGCTCCTTAGAAACCCTATACAGGGTTGCTGTGGGTCGGAACCAACTCGAAGGTACTTAACAAAACAACAATTCCCATTCAAGCTTTGGCCATGGCTACCTATGGGACCCTGAGCAAAGCACTCTGAAATCCTGAGTCCTTATTTATCACAGTAGGGTTTAGAATAAGAAGTCACAGCAGAGAAGACAGAGGAAGCTGGGGTTCTCTCTTCTGTCCCTGGGTGAAGGCTCTCTGGTCTCTTTATACTGCCACCCTCCGCCCCCCCTCCATTACTTATCTGCTCTCCTAACTCTTCCACTGCCTCTTCTCTAGTGGGGTTTCTTCTGGGCTCCAATCTTGGCCAACAGCGCATATTGCCTTGCATCTTGCATTTAGATCTGGTGGTTCTCCAGAGAACAGCTTCATCTGGTGTTACCCGAGCCAAGTGCTAACTGTCCAGAGGAGTGAGAGCTGAAACCTGTTACCTGAGGCTTCGGGCTTGCTGGGCTGTGCCATCCCTTGGCCCCTCCATCTGAGCCTTTGTGGACAGGAGGGGCTGGGCGAGCAGGCCAGCTGGGCTATGGTTTGGTGCCTCAATCTGGCCATCTTCAGCCTGGTCATCAGCCAGGGGGCTGACGGTGAGCTGTACTCTTGGAACCCAAGAACTCCTAGCCTTGGTGGGGGGATCCCCCTGGGGGTTCTCCATGCAACACATGAGGGTAGGGAAGGAACAGGCCTGGTTCAGGAGAATCTGAGGGTTCTTTTATCACCCCAAAGTTTTAGGGACCTTACAGAGATACTGCTGGGACTTTCCCTCCCAGCCCTGACTCTCACCCTTCACTGTGCCCCCATGCCACCCACCATGCAGGTCGAGGGAAGCCTGAGGTGGTGTCAGTGGTGGGCCGGGCTGGGGAGAGCACAGAGCTGAGCTGCGACCTCCCTCCGGCCGGCCGGCCCCCACTGCATGTCATCGAGTGGCTGCGCTTTGGATTCCTGCTTCCCATCTTCATCCAGTTCGGCCTCTACTCTCCCCGAATCGACCCTGATTACGTGGGTAAGAGTTAGCCTTGGGCGGGAGGGGGCCTGGCAAAGATGGGGCAAGATCCCTTCCTACTGCACTGTCCCTATACCAACCTCATATCCACACCCCTGCCTTACTGCTGCTAATGAGTGTGACTCTGGTCCCAAGCAGTGTTTATTCATGGGCAGATTTCATTCATCTTCACACATACATGTAAGGTATAGTTGTGCTATTTACAACTCCATGTGATCTGTTCTGAAGGGAATACTGTAGCCCAGTGCAAGTGTCCGTCCTAAATTCTTCAGTTCTCTTTCTAGCTCTTACCATGACCTGTGTCTCTCCACTTGGCCCTGTCCTGGTGCCTAGTTTGCTATCTGCTCACTTCTCCCTCACCTCCTCTCACCATCACCAGTATCTAAAATGCTAGTTCAGGAGCGGACCAATGAGGTGACAGAGTGGGTGTCCCCTCAGCCTGTTTCTGAGTATAGAAGAGCACGCGCATTGTAGGGTGGGCTAGAGAGGGCCAAGATCCCTGAAGATCAACAAATGGACAGGGTTGGGCTGGGCTGTTGCTGCAGGTGGATCCTAAAATAGTGCAGAGGCCATAGGATGTCTCAGCTTCTCCCTAATCCTGGATGCTGCATTCATCAGAGCAGTCCTGGGCCAGGCCGGCCAGGTCTCAGAGGGCCGTCTATGGGGAGGTCCCAAGGAGGGCGGATCTAGGGCTGCTGAGGCATTAAGCTTCTGGACAAACTAGAGTATCCGATTCCTTTTCCTTAAGGAGAAACACATGAAAGGCACCCCAGAGGGTGAGATGTGGGGAGCACCCCCACCTTTATCTCTTTCGTTTGAATTTTGGGAGAAGCTCTGAGATTGGCTGAGCTCTCAGGTCTGGGCGTGCTCAGCAGATGCTGGAGAAGGGAAGGATTTATTTTCAAACTGGGGGCAGTTGTTGGCAAACAGCCTAGTGGGAGTACATGTGTCTACACTAGCTCCATGGAAATTGATGGAGGTGGGGGTGGTGGTAATCAGGACCAGAAGAGAAAAAACGGTTGTGCCCACCAGACCCTCCCTCCCTGCTTCCATAGACTGCCCACCCAGGAGGAGTTTGGGCTATTGGGGGGTTGAGGAGAGGAAAGAGAAGGGCTTTCTTGGGATGGAGCAGGGAACTGTGAAACTCCTCTCCGCCCAGTCACCCTGTCTTGAGGTCTTTCTCCAGCATGTAGGTGCTGGATGGCTGGAAACTTTGCTTACCTGTGGGTTTTCTTTCTTCTCTGTTGTTCTTTTGAGTGCCAAGGGCTGTGAGCAATAATCTCTCGGGCTTTCTTTCTACCCCTACCCTTTGTTCCCATTCCCATCCCCCAGTCTGGAGCTCCTGGTCAGGCCTGAGCCAGTCTAGGGAGTCAGGACTCACAAGGGAGGCCCCTGAGCCCATTAACCCTTTTTCTGCCTCACTGTGGAAAGGGCCTCTCTGCCTTTGTGTAGGGGACTCCGAATTGCAGTTGCTAAGCAACAGGAGGTGGAGGTTGCATCGGACAATGCCTTACTGTCATAAATTCTCTGAGCAAGTGACTGGGAGATGGGCCTGGGACTGTGTGTGAGCCTGGTGGCCTAGAATGTGTAAGGAGCCAGTGAGAGAGAGAGACAGATTATTTGGAGCTTTAAGAGCTACACCGAAGGGGTCGCTTCCAATCTTTGAGGACTCTAGAATCCATCTAACCAAGGAGACTAAATTCATAGGATGCATCTACTCACTTATTGACTCTCTCATTATTCAACATTTTGCATTTATGACAATCATAACAAAATCGATTGCCTAATTGTTTTGCATATTAATGACATCATTGGCAATAGTAGATGTGGAGGTGTGACGTAAGAGTCAGGCCAGCTGTGCTGGTTAAGGTTATTTGTCAGTTTGACTGAACCATGATTTTCAGTGGTTTGACATTTATGCATTGATACAATTTGGTAGTTATGCAATGATGTAATTTGGCACTTATGTAATGATGTAATCATCCTCCATTTTCACATAATGACATAGTCATTGGAACCTACCCATGTCAATAAGTGAGGAGTGGGTCTATAAAAATAGTAAAATAAATGATGGAACAAGATATGACTATAGACTAGCATTAGCTATGCCCTGTTGCCATTGAGTTGGTTCTGATTCCTGGTGAACCCCAAGTGTTGCAGAGTAGAACTGCTCCGTGGGGATTTCTGGGCTGTAATCTCTACAGAAATGTAGCACCAAAACTTGTTTTCATGGAGCCACTGGGTAGGTTCAAACCACCAACCCTTTCAGTTGGCAGATGTGTGCCAGCCGTTGAACCACTCCATATGACATGTTTAGCACAGAGCCTGGCACACAGTGCTTGGTAAATGATGGCAGTCAGGCATGGTCTGAAATGTGATACAGGCTTCAGAAGGACAGAGGCCTGCACCAGCTCTCCTGGGATGGAGCTCAGATCAACTACCCATGGGATGGACTTTTGCTCCTTGACTTTTGGATTGCATTTCTTGGAGTCTCAAGATGCCACACACAACAATAGGCGAGTGAGTTTTCTTTCTGTCCCTTTTAGATCTCCCAACTTCCTGTAGAAACCCCCGCTTTTTACTAATGCCCTTCTAAACCCTCTGTATAGCCACATTTTCCCAGTAGCCTTCCCTATGACTCTTGTTTCACAGACTCTGGAAATACTGGGCCATTTTAAAAACCTTTGTGTGTATCTGTGCATGTGAACTTGCAATGTGTGAACATGTGTGTGTCACTGCCTTCTGAGGACCTGAGAGAACATACTGTTTCCGATTTCCTATCTAAAGACTGTGAAAGTGGAAGAGGAATCTCCAGGAGGCGGGCCCTGGATCTGGCAGACTTAAGACAGCCTACTCCTGGTGGTCTTCCTGTTCATTGGTAACACTGCTAGTTGCCATTGGATCAGTTAGGACTCATCACAGCCCCTTGTGTTGCAGAGTAGAACTGCACTCCATGGGGTTTTCAGTGGTGAGCTTTTCTAAGTAGACCACCAAGGCTTTCTTCTAAGTCACCTCTCGATGGATTTGAACTTCCAAGTTCTTATTGTTTGCACCCCCCCCAGGGATCCAATCTATAGCTCTAGAAATGTATGTCTTTCGGAAAACTTAGGACTTGCAGTATGCTTCTTTGGTTAGCATCCATTTAAAACCATTATTTATGCCTAGGGGTGAGCATCAACTGATTCTAACACCAATGTGTAATGAAAAACACACTACTTCTGTAGAATGTAAGTTTGGCTTTGTCCCTTACTTTGTTCCATGTGGCTTTGGAAAGCCACTTAATATCAATTCCTTTGTCTATAACGGAATTCTTGCATTGATTAAATGTAGTCATGATGCCAAATATTGCATGTTGTTGTTGTTAAGTGCTGTCGAGTCGGTGCTGACCCATAGCGACCCTGTACAGGGTTTCCAAGGCTGTAAATCTTTATGGGAGCAGAAAGCCTCATTTCTTCCACGGAGTGGCTGGTAGTTTCGAACTGCTGACCTTAAGGTTCTCAGCACGATTCGTAACCATTACGCTACAACCCTAAATCTTTCTCCCCTCGTCTTCCTTCTTGGTAGGGCTAGATCACCTTATTGAAAAGTTATTATCATGTAAAACTTAAAGGAAGCTAGGTGGCAAGGCAAATTAGAGTTAAGGAGAAATCCCACTGATGGGTGGAAGAGTGTGGTTGTGTTAAATATTTACCTGCAAGACCTATGCTTATCTCGTGGGTGGGAATTTAAACACCTAGCAGGCCCACCCATCCTAGAGAATCCACACCCCTGGGCCACAGTGTGGAAGAACAAAGACCTTTGCCTAAGATCACAAAGCCAGCCTCAACTTGATCATTCTCATTTTCTTTCCTGGTGACATTAGGGGCACTGTAGGTTTAGATTATAGTTCAGAAAAATCACCCTACATGGACAGGGGAAGCAGTTAGAAAGGTGCGTGCATTTACAGAATCTCTAGCATTTGGATGGGCTTAGGAATACATTCTGTGGGATAAGCTCTGGACCAAAAGATTGACAGTTCAAATTTACCAGTCGCTCCTTGGAAACATCGCAACCCTGAATAAGGTTTAGCTGGTGGGTTTGAACTGCCAACCTTGTGAGTAGCAGTTAAGTGCTTATCCTACAGTGCCATACCAGGATTCCTGGAAACCCTATACAGCGTCGCTATGAGTCAGAACTGACTCAATGGTACTTAACAACAACAAGGGCCACATTCTGATTGGCTAGGATGGACCCACTGCTAAGGTACTTGGCTTGGATTTGCATTTAAATACCCTACAAGATTTAAAGAATATCATTGTTCATATCAAGGTTCAGAACTGATGAATGTAGAGAGGGGAGAGGCTGGAGGCAGGGAGACCTATGTGTAAACTGTTGGATAACCTAGGTGAGAGATAACCTGCAGGTCTAAATGTCGATGTAGGTGGTGTGGTGGTGGTGTGACATGGAGTCGGGTAGGAAAAAAATGTGTAGAGGCAGAATTTAAAAGTGCACACATGGGATTATCATGAGCTAGAATTGACTGGCAGCAACTAACAATGAACAAGTAGGTGTTGGGGAAAGAGCAAGAGGAGTCTAGGTGATGCCAGGTTTCTGGTAGGGGACTTGCTATTTGCTGATACAGAACTCGGAGCGGTGGGGAAGAAAGGGGAGGTGTGGTTTGTTACCAGTAAAGGCTAGGGCCATGACTAGAATGCAGGCTTCTGATTTCAAATCCTCAGCTCATTCATTTGTTCAGCAGCCCTTATTTGAGCACCTGCTGATGCCAGGCACCGTGTCGGATGTCTTCGCTGCATTCTCTCTCCCTTCTACCCCACCCACATTTTTCTGTGCTATCTCATTTTGAAGATTAAGAAACTGAAGTTGAGAAAGAGGTTAAAGAACTTGCTCCTAAGTGTGTTTCTCTCTCACTAGGCTGTACTGCTGAGGCCCCTGGAGGGGAGGGGACTTGGGTGGGCACTTCATGTGAACCTAAGGGCGGGGATGGCTTATTTGCTTGGGCTGTGGCTGTGTGACTTTCTGTGGTCAGTCCGCTGGAGCCGGAGTGCCCTGGGCGTTGAAGGTTTTGGAGAAGACGCTGCTGCCCACCTGGGCTGACCTCTGGCCATCCTAAACCGTTTAGGCTCTCAGGGATTAGGGGCTTTGGCAGGGGAGGTCTAAGTCCTTGCTAGGGTCCCAAACTGCTGAAGTTTCAAGGGACTGTACTCTGGTGGGAGAAGAACTCCCAGGAGCCCATGCCTTCCTCTACAAAAGAACTCTGCGGTGGGGGACAGATCTAGTAAGAATCTAGAGAGACCATATGCTGGCTCCCCAATAGACTTCCCTTAACAGTTCTGGAAGGTGGGTGTAATTCAGTGGAACCTTCTGTCCACTTTCTGTCCCTCTGGTTTTCTCGTTGCCTACACTGGATGTGCTTCCAGTGACCCCAGCCCCACTTGTGCCCTTCTGCGTCCCATTCTGCCCAGGTAACTGAGAAAGACAGAGCTTGGTCCTGAACTCTGAGAATGACCGGTGTGTGCAGGGGTTTGGGGCTACCATGAGGTCCTATCAAAATCCTTGATTCGGGGCTCCTCTCCCAGGGCGAGTCCGGCTGCAGAAGGGGGCATCCCTCCTGATCGAGGGGCTCCGGGAAGAAGACCAAGGCTGGTACGAGTGCCGCGTGCTTTTTCTGGACCAGCACCCTCCCGAGGACGACTTTGCTAACGGCTCCTGGGTGCACCTCACAGTCAATTGTATGAAGCTGGGCCAAGTGGTGGAGAAGGGAAATACTGGAGACCTCTGACTGGGGTGGGGAGGTGAGGGGGTGGAGGAGAGGAAGTTCTATTTCCATCCATGCACAGTTCTGCTGCCCCACCCTTCCTGACACCCATGCTCACGTTTTCATTCTGCCCTTTCAGTTCTTTAAATCTGTATCCAATCCGCCTCCCAGGCTCCAGTCTGTGTCAGGAGCTTCCTCTTTCCTCTCTGTGCCCTGCTCCTGCCGCTCTTGTTATAAGAGGGCAGTGGGGGATGGAGTTGGGCCCTGAGAGAACCAAAGCTCACATACATTCAGCACTTTTGTTTTTTGCAAAACCATTTCACCCAGCACTTTATCAATTCTCTCTCAACCCTAAGGAGAAAGGTCATGATTGTTCCCATTTCATCCATGAGGAAACTGGGGCACAGAAAGGCTAGGTCATGCCACACAGAGCAGAGCTTAGATCCCGGGCCTTCTGACCTCCAGAACAGTGATTTCCTGAGGGCACCTAGCTGTCCCTCTAGCTCCACAGCCCAGTGTGAAGTTGGGCAGGCTGAGACTGATCCCCAAGTGGTCTGTCTCTCTGGCCCTCTGGACGTGCTCTTTGGGCTGATGGGTCCTGTGGCAGCCCCTCATGTCTTTCTCCTCGCAGCGCCCCCACAATTCCAGGAAACACCTCCTGCAGTGCTGGAAGTGCGGGAACTGGAGCCAGTGACCCTACGTTGCGTGGCCCGTGGGAGCCCCCAGCCTCATGTGACTTGGAAGCTCGGCGGACAGGACCTTGGCCAGGGCCAGGCGCAAGTGAGTCCTGGGCTGGGCAGGGTGGGCCAGACAGAAGCAAGGGACAGATGGGTTCTGGGAGACTGACCAGCCACGGCTGCATCTTGGCATCCCCGAGCTTGGGTTGCTGCCGCCCTCTGCTGGCCAGCCTTGGAAGCACAGCGTCTGAGGCGGCTAGTGGGCAGGGACCTTACTCACAAATTCCCTCCTCAGGTGCAAAATGGGACGCTGTGGATCCAGCGGGTGGAACGGGGCAGTTCTGGGGTCTACACCTGCCAAGCCTCTAGCACCGAAGGCAGCGCCACCCACGCCACCCAGCTGCTGGTGCAAGGTGCTGTCTAGTGGGACAGCTGGGAGCACAGATGTGATCAGGGGCTGGGACACCAAGCAGGAGTGGGGAAGAGGCTTGGGCCTGAGGAAGGAGTGAGAAAGCTCCCATCACAGTCGGTTGCTCCAAAACCAATGTCTTAATTTTGAAAGTAAGTAGGTGAGTAGATGTTTAATGTCCAGCACAGTGGTACAGTGGAAAGGGCAAGAGTACTGATGAGAAATCTTCTAACTGAGCCATTTAACCTCCCAGAGCTCTAGTTTATTTACAATAAGGGCTCCACACCTGCCTTTCAAAGGAACCCTGGTAGTATCGGGCTGCTAACCAAACACAAGGTTAGTAGTTTGAATCTACCAGCAGCTCTGCAGGAGAAAGATGAGGCTTTCTGCTCCCGTAAAGCTTTGCAGCCTCAGAAACCCTATGAAGGGTCAGTATGAGTTAGAACCCACTCGAAGGCACACTACCACCACCACCACCTGCCTCTCAGACTGTTATAAAGACTTGATACATTAACTGCCGAGCACAGTGACTGATTCCTGGCCGATATCTCCCTTTTAGGAGGAAAACAGAAGTAGGAGCTGGCTTCAGAAGGGGTGTGGAGAAATGGCATTGAAAGATAATGGAATTTTCCTACATGCTTTTTGAAGCTCCCCCTTACAGGGTCTAGGTCTGCCGTCATAGGGCATGTTATATCTTTGTGGGGATAGAGGGTTAATTCCTGAAATAAAGACGTGGTTCTACTGTAAGAAAGACAGAGTGGTATGATGATGAACCATCCCCTAGTACCACCAATCCCTGAATATGAATCTTGCTGTCCCTGCTGACCTTGGTCAAGTCACCTAACCATCTCTCTGCCTTTCCGTCTTAATGTCTTCATTTATAAAGCAGGGGAGGGAAATTCATAACACAAACTGTCCTTATAAGCATGAAATGAGTGCTCAGCAGAGCGCCTGGCATGTTGTAGGTACTCTGTGCATGCCTTCTCTTCTTACTACCTTGCCCAGAGTCAGGGGTTGCTGCAGCATCTTGAGGTGAGGTATTGGGTACCTGGATAAGAGATGGAATGAGTTAAGACGTGGCAGAGGAGAGATACTAAGGGTAACTGTGCACAGTTAAAACTGACCCCTACTCCTCTCTTCCTACACACATAGTTCCTAGGTGGGAACAACTAGGTGAATGAGATTCCCCTGGTGGAATGGAAAGGGAGCTGGTCTCAGGGGAGAGCATGAATTTTTCTTAAATCCCAGGGGAACATCCTGCTTCAATTCCCCAATGCTCTGCAATCACCAGCCCTGTATTTCAGAGGGTGGAGCTGAGAGGAGCTGTAGAAGGACCTCTGGGTTCTTGGAAGACTGTGAGCTGAAGCCATCTCCCTTGCTGTGTGCTACCCCTAGGGCCCCCAGTCATTGTGGTGCCCCCCAAGAACAGCACGGTCAATGCCTCCCAGGATGTTTCCTTGGCCTGCCAGGCTGAGGCGTACCCTGCGAACCTCACCTACAGCTGGTTCCAAGACAGCATCAATGTCTTCCACATCAGGTGGGGACTCGGAAGGGGAGGGGATGGGAAATTGGTGGCTAGTTTTTGAGGAGCCCTGTGACTGGGCAAGGTCTTGACCCCTACCCACACATGCCATATTGTAGCCGCCTGCAGCCCCGGGTGCGGATCCTGGTGGATGGGAGCCTGCGGCTGCAGACTGCCCAGCCCGATGATGCTGGCCGCTATACCTGTGTGCCCAGCAATGGCCTCCTGCGTCCACCCTCAGCCTCTGCCTACCTCACCGTGCTCTGTAAGGACCCAGTTCCTTCCCCAGCCTCTCCCTCTCTCCTGGGCCAGGCCGGCCCCCTGACAACTTGCCACTGCTTCCCCCCTCCAAGACCCAGCCCAGGTGACGACGATGCCTCCTGAGACACCCCTGCCTATAGGCATGCGGGGGGTGATCCGGTGTCCTGTTCGTGCCAACCCCCCACTGCTCTTTGTCAGCTGGACTAAGGATGGCCAAGCCCTGCAGCTGGACAAGGTACAGGCTTGGGGCAGGGGAAAGGAACAGCTTAGCTTGGTGGTGTTCTGATCAGAAAGAGGCTGGGATGTAATTGTTCTTATTAAGTACCGTGGAGTCGGTTCCGACTCATAGTGACCCTGTACAAGGTTTCCGAAGCTATAAATCTTTAAGGGAGCAGAAAGCCTCATCTTTCTCCCGCGAACACCTGGTAATTTTAAACTGCCGGTAGTTTTGAACTGCCAACCTTGAGGTTAGCAGCCTGATTTGTAACCACTACACTACCAGAGCTAGCTCAGTTTAATTCTGTGACTACAGAATGCACACTTTCTACCAGGTGCTGTGCGGATGTTGAGTGGGGTGCAGGGGCACAGCCTAAAGTGGGGAGGACATTGTCTTCCTTTCTTAGTTGCTGCTGTAATGGAAATACATAGATGGCATTAATGAATGGAAATGTACTTTCTTACGGTTTGAGTGTCCACAGTCAGAACACTGGCTCAAAGGGAAGGCTCTTTCTGTTTCAGTTCCTTGGTGGTCTTCATGCAGCATGGCTTCTAGCTCCCTGCATTGGTGCCTTCTTGCTTGCTTCTAATCTGCCTAATCTGCTCTTTTCATACCTCAAAAGTGATTGGGTGAAGATACACCTTATGTGGGTGTGGTCTCATTAACATAACAAAGAACCCCTATTCACCACCAATGAGATTACCTTTATTGGTATAGTAGTACCTTCTTTGGTATGTTGTTATTCTGTGGAGTCGGTTCCGATTCATAGTGACCCTGTACAAGGTTTCCGAGGCTGTAAATCTTTATGGGAGCAGAAAGCCTCATCTTTCTCCCATGGAACAGCTGGTAGTTTCGAACTGCTGACTGTGAGGTTCACAGCCCAATTCTTAACCACTATGCCACCAGAGCTTTCTGTTATAGCTGTTGTTAAGTGCTTTTGAGTTGATTCCAACCCATAGTGACCCTGTATAAAGTTTCCAAGGAGCAACTGGTGAGCTTGAACCGCTGACCATGCAGTTCAAATTGACTTTACAGGTCCAGTGCATTATCCCACAGTGCTACACCATATAACACCTTTTTTTTTTTTTTAATGTTTTATTATGAATTATGTGATAGTTTACATGGGAGAACATTAGTTTTACATTCATACTATTGTATATCATTTCATTCAACCAAAGGGTATATACTACAAGCCTGCCCCCGCAACCCCATCCCCACCCCCCCACATCATCTGCACACAGCCCCTCTCCCTCTCTGGGTCTAAATTCCCCTGCTGCTCCATCTCTCCACATCATCATCTCTGCCTCCATCGCTGGCGTCACTGCTTCTCTGGGTAGGGTCCTGCTGTCTGCTCTTCTCCCTTGATGGTCCCAGGGACCTATAACACTTATTTTTGAGGGACATGATTCAGTTCCGAACAGAGAGCAACACCGACACTGCTAGAAGGGCAGCCACGTGCCTTCCTCTCAACAAGAGCTTCTTAGACTTTGCTGAAGGGCTTTGAAGGATGGACTGATCTTCCAAGCAGAAACCAGGGCCCAGAGGCAGGAAACAGTAGAGTGTGTTTATGGGGTGAAGAATGAGTCCTCCAGTTTGGTAGCAGCAGCAGTGCTTGTAGGGACAAGAATGGAACAGAGAAAGCTGGAAATACAGGTTGGGGCCAAGGGAAGAGAAGAACTGTGGATGCCAAGTTAATATAACCTCATTCCAAGGTGATTGGGATCTTTCCATTGTCTGCAAAGACTACACTTCCTTGAGGGCTGGGATTGCCTCTTTTAATCACAGTGCCTCCAGGGCTTCTGTACTCCATACATTGTTGTTGAATGTCTGAAAGAATCTAAAAAAAAAAAAGCAAGCACACAGAGCTGTGTCTGGGGTATACAGCAAGTACTCTTAAGTTCCCCAAGGGCAGGGTTTGTATCTCTTTTGTTCACTGCTGATCATGGGTGCCTAGCACATGCGGTACCTCTGTCAGCATTTACAGAATGAAAACAATAACTGCAACTCTCAATAAATTTAGCTATTTTTGTTGTTTAGTATCATCAAGTCAGTTCCAACTCATAGATACCTTGTATAGGGTTTCCAAGGAGCACTTTGCGAGTTTGAACCGCTGACCTTACAGTTCAAACAGACAGTGTAGTCCAGTGCTTATCCTGTTGTTAAGTGCCGTTGAGTCGATTCCGACCCATAGCAACCCTATATAGGGTTTCCAAGGAGCAGCTGGTGAACTTGAACCACCGACCTTGCAGTTCAAATGACTTTGCAGTCTGACGCATTAGCCCACAGCTCCACAGCAGGATTCCAGTGATTATCCTACAGCACCACAATGCAGATAAAGAGCTGGGTCTTTCACCCTAATGGCTAACTCATTTATTATTCTAAAAAGTGATTTTTAACCAACCCCCCGCCCCCCATTTAATTTTTCTTAAGGCGATAACTACATTATTTAGGTACTACTAGAATACCAGAGGAGTCCTGGTGTGGCGCTGTGGGTTAATGTGCCAGACTGTAAAGCCATTTGAACTGCAAGGGTGGTTGGTTCAAGCTCACCAGCTGCTCCTCGAAAACCCTGTACAGGGTCACTATGGGTCGGAACCGACACAACAGCAAACTACAACAATAGAATACCAGAAAGATGTTTACTTGTGCTTTATTGACTATGCAAAGGCTTTCAATTGTGTGGATCATGACAAGCTATGGACAACATTGGGGAGGATGAGTATTCCAGAACACTTAATTGTGCTAATGAGAAATCTGTACATAGACCAAGAGGCAGTTGTTCGAATGGGAACACCAAATGGTTTAAAATTAGGAAAGGTGTGTGCCAGGGTTGCATTCTTTCACCATACTTATTCAATCTGTGTGCTGAACAAATAATCAGAGAAGTTGGATTATATGAAGACATACGTGGCATCAGGACTGGAAGAAGCCTAATCAACAACCTACGATATACAGATGATACTACCTTGCTTGCTTTGATGAAGATCAAAGACCACACAGCCTTCAATATGGATAGCACCTCAATGTACAGGAAACAAAATTACTTACCACTGGACCAATAAATAACATCCATATAAATGGTGAAAAGATGAAGATGTCAATGACTTCACTTTGCTCTGAGCAACCATCAACACTCATGAAAGCAGCAGTCTAGAAATCAAACAACGTATTGCATTGGGCAAATCTGCTGCACAAGACCCCTTTAAATTGTTGAAGGGCAAAGATGTCAGGACTAAGGTGCGCCTGATCCAAGCCATGATATTTTCAATGACTTCATATGCATGCGAAAGTTGAACAGTGAATAAGGAAGATCGTAGAAGAATTGATGTATTTGCATTATGGTGTTGGAGAAGAATATTGAAAGTACCTTGGACTGCCAAAAGAACCAATAGATCTGTGGAAGAAGTACAGCCAGAGTGCTCTTTGGAAGCCAGGATGGCCAGACTTCGTCTTTTCATACTTCGGACATATCAGGAGAAACTAGTCTCTGGAGAAGGATAGCTACAATGTTTGGTAAGGTGGAGGATCCGAGAAAACGAGGAATACCCCCACAAGATGGATTGGCACAGTGGCAGCAGTGATGGCCTCAGGTAGCAACAAGTGTGAGGTTGGCCCAAGACCAGGCAGTGTTTCGTTCTGTTGTACATAGGGTCGCTATGAGTCAGTACTGACTCGATGGCACCTAAAAGCAGCAACAACATAAGTCGTCATTAAGTACTGCTAGGTAAGGAGCTCTGGTAGCGTAGTGGTTACGAATCGGGCTGCGAACCTTAAGGTCAGCGGTTCGAAACTACCAGCCGCTCTGCGGGAGAAAGATGAGGCTTTCTACTCCCGTAAAGATTTACACCCTTGGAAACCCTGTACAGGGTTGCTATGGGTCGGACCCGACTCGATGGCACTTAACAACAACAACAACAGGTAAGAGAGTTGGAAGTCAGACAACAAAGGAAAAAAGGGGAGAAAAAGTCTAAAGGTATCCTGAGTCCAGGAATGTTGCATTAGAATGTGGAAGGGAGGGTGTGGGAGAGTGAACACATGGAGAAGGACTCAGAGGCTGCTGACATGGTCCAGGTGAGAGGTTATGAAATCTGAGTTACAGAGGAAGCCACGGAGATGGGTGGGCCTTCTTGCCTAGACAAAAAGAACTTCCCAGGATGCCAGAATTGACAAGCCTTTAAATAAGGGGAGTGAGGAACCAAATTCTAGTAGGAAGGATGGTGGAGTCTTTAATACAAATAGGGGTGGTTTGGGGTGAAAAGGAGTTCCTCAATGTTGAAAACACTTAAACATGCTTGAATGAGTCCCTCTAGAGGTATCTCGAAAGAAAGCCTTGGTGATCTACTCTTGAAAAAACTCAGTCATTGAAAACATTAAGAAGCACAGTCCTACCATGGATTGGGGTCAGCTGGGTAGCAACTGGTTAACTGGTCTGGGTGGAAAATGCTGAATTTTGTTTTATAAAGGTTGGGAGGATAGCTAGGTGAGGTTCCAGCAGACAACTGTAGGGGGCGCCATTTGCCCTGTCTGTGCAGTACACCCTGGAATTGTTTAGTCAGAGCTGCCACACTTGTTTATAGAGGCCTCTCTGTAGCATAGAGAGAAACCAGGAGCTGGAATTCGAGTCAGGTCTAGAGACATCTGCACAGGTGTGGGTTTCTTATATTGTCTCTCTCTCTCTCCATTGCCTATCCATCCCTGCTCTTGCTCTCCTGAGTTTTCCTGATTGTCATCTCTCCTTCTCCCTTCTACCTCTTCAGTTCCCCGGTTGGTCCCAGGGCACAGAAGGCTCGTTGATCATTGCCCTGGGAAATGAGGATGCCCTGGGCGAATACTCCTGCACTCCCTACAATAGTCTCGGTACTGCAGGGCCCTCCCCGGTGACTCGTGTGCTGCTTAAGGTAAGGCCCAGGGTGGTCCAGGGGCCTGTGGCAGAAGAGGGTCAAGTGGCTGAAGGTGCATGTCACACTGTTGAGGCCAGGCTGCCAGAGTGGGGTGGACAGATGTGTGCAGAGGAGCTCCGAAGTCTCTGACCACAGCTCTAGCCACGGCTGTCAGATACCATCCACAGAGATTTCCCTAGAGATGAGAACTGGGGAGATGGGAATTAAGGCACGCAACATATCAACAAAGAAAAAATGAAAGAATTGGGCTGTAACCACCCAGACTCTTAGCAGCCTTGATCATGCTGCCTTCCTCTCTGGAATTCTAGGAAGGAAGAAGAGGGAAAGGAAAGGGTAAAAGTTGTCCTGTAGAGGTTTAAACAGCTCCAGAGAGACCTACCCAAGCCACCAAGCCTTGTTCTAGCCCAACATTTCCTTGTAGCCCCTTCCATTCAAACTACAGAGACATGGAGAGCTGGAGAGAGACTGAGCATAGGACACCCTAGGGAGGGGGAGTAACTAACCTTAGCTAAGCAATGTGAAAGAGGCCACACAAGAGCCCCCTGCCAATGCTACACCTGGCTTTACAGGCTCCCCCAGCTTTTATTGAACGTCCCAAGGAGGAGTATTTCCAGGAAGTAGGGCGGGAGCTACTCATCCCTTGTTCTGCCCAAGGAGACCCTCCTCCTACTGTCTCTTGGACCAAGGTAAGGTTCTTGACCCTGCTCTGTCTGCATTCATGCATACTATACCCCTGCGCTCTGTCTGCGTTCATGCCTACTGTACCCCTGCCTCTTCATCCTCAGGCCATTTTGTGAGCAGGAAGATGGGGGTGGGGGGGAGGGCTGTGGAGGCTGGGTGGGAAGAAGCTGGAGCTATCCAGAGAGATGACTGACACCCTTGATGAGGGGTGGCTGCGTGTGTCCTCAGGGCTGACCAGTGGTTCTGTAGGTGGGCCGGGGACTGCGGAACCAGGCCCAGGTGGACAGCAATAACAGCCTGATCCTACGGCCACTGAGCAAGGAGGCCCATGGGCTCTGGGAGTGCAGTGCCAGCAATGCTGTTGCCCGAGTGACCACCACCACGAATGTCTACGTGCTGGGTTAGTGGCTGGAGAGTGGAACGGGGCTGGAAGAAACCATATGGGACAGGAAATAGGGGACTCCTGGGATGATGGGTGGAGGGACGAGACCTTGAGGCTCCACTTAGCTCTTTACCTTCCTTCAGATTCCTGACCACCATCCCTCATTCCATTCTCCCTTATCCAGGCACCAGCCCTCACGTTGTCACCAATGTGTCTGTGGTGCCTTTGCCCAAGAGTGCCAATGTCTCCTGGGAGCCTGGCTTTGATGGTGGCTATCGGCAGAGATTCAGTGTCTGGTACACCCCATTGTGAGTGCCCCTGCTGTTACTGTGCCTGCATCACCTCCTCTCCTCTCCACCGGAATTGGCCTGGTCCTCTGAGTCTTTTCCCACCCTGCTATCCTTGGCCCTGATCCAACTCTGCTGCCCTGTTTCCAGAGAAGTTTAGGTGTTCCGGGTTAAGTCAAGTCCTAAGATCTAGATGATTGTAAGTTGGGGAGAGGGGTAAGGACACAAAATCTTGGTCTTTCTAACTGCTGAGATGCTCCTTGTTTCCTCATGCCCTCCCAGGGCCAAGCGTCCTGACCGAGCACACTATGACTGGTTGTCCCTGGCAGTGCCAGTGGGAACTGCTTACCTCCTAGTGCCAGGGCTACAGCCTCACACCCAGTACCAGTTCAGCATCCTAGCCCAGAACAAGCTGGGGAGTGGTCCCTTCAGCGAGATCGTCTTGTCTGCCCCTGAAGGTGAGCTCCCTCACCGCAGAGCAGCAGAGACAAGGGTGGGGAAGGACTGTTAGTGAAAGTTCAGATGTAAGAGAATCTGGATGGGAGAGTGGTAGGGGTGCTGGACAGCTTGGGGTCCATATATTGTGTGAGATGATTTGGGCTTGTCTTTAGGGGCTTTGGGGAAATTAGTGAGCACTGCAGGGCAGTAGAGAGCCAGAGAGATGGGGATCCCATCTTTGACCTGCCTGTCTGCCCCTACCAGGACTTCCTACTACACCAGCTTCCCCCAGGCTTCCCCCCACAGAGGCGCCTCCTCCCCTGTCCCCTCCCCGAGGTCTGGTGGCAGTGAGGACACCTCGGGGGGTGCTTCTGCATTGGGAACCCCCAGAACTGGTCCCTAAGAAGCTAGATGGCTACGTGTTGGAGGGCAGGCAAGGTGCCCAGGGCTGGGAGGTGCTGGACGGGGCCGTGAGAGGTACAGAAATGCAGCTGCTGGTTCCTGGGCTCATCAAGGTATGTGGTAGGTGACGTAAGGCGGCTCCTCCCAGCAGCCCCTACCCCCACCCCTCCCGCTCCATTCTCTGCTGTTCTCCAGGGTGATAATCTCGAGCTGATTTGACCATCTTCACCCCCTGCTTCCTACCTCACCCTACCTCCCAACTGAAAAGATTTCTTAAATGGAGTTGGAGAGGGCTGGGGTTGGCCCTGACCCTCTTCCCCCCACCCCAGGATGTCCTCTATGAGTTCCGCCTTGTAGCCTTTGCCGGCAGCTATGTCAGTGATCCCAGTAACACGGCCAACGTCTCTACTTCAGGTGAGAACCCAGTAGGAGGGAAGGGGGTCTCCAAGCACATCAAGTCCTGGGCTCTGATCCTATCTTATGGACCCTTCTCCAGGCCTGGAGGTCTACCCTTCGCGCACGCAGCTTCCTGGTCTCCTGCCCCAGCCGGTGCTCGCTGGAGTGGTGGGCGGTGTCTGCTTCCTGGGCGTGGCCGTCCTAGTGAGCATTCTGGCTGCCTGCCTCATGAACCGGCGCAGGGCTGCCCGCCGCCGCCGCAAGCGCCTGCGCCAAGGTAGACCCTCTACACCATCATCCAGCTGGCTGGTGGTCTTCACACACCCACCTCTGGAGCCAGTCCCAGAAAGCCCCACCCTTCAATAAGCCCCTCCTAAGGAGCTCTGGTAGCATAATGGTTATGAATTGGGCTGATAACCTCATGCTCAGCAGTTCGAAACTACCAGCTATTCAGCGGGAGAAAGATGAGGCTTTCTGCTCCCGTAAAGATTTATAGCCTCGGAAACCCTGTACAGGGTCGCTATGGGTCAGAACTGACTCCACGGCACATAACAACCTGGCCAATGGGGAATCCGAGAGTGGTACTGTAGAATAAGGGCTCTACCACGAGGTCGGTTTAAACCACTTAATGTTGGCGGTTCGAACTCAACAGCTGCTCCTTGGAAACCGTATTCAGGGTCGCTCTGAGTCAGAACCGACTCCAAGGCACTTAACACCACCTGGCCAATGCACTTCATGAACTTGGGGTCCTGGTGTGGTGCTATATGATAAACACTGAATCACAAGGTGGGAGGTTCAAACGCACCATCTGCTCCTCCGAAGCCCTATACTGCGTCGTTATGAGTTGAAACCGATTGGACGACACTTAACAATAACAACCTGGAGAAAAATCCCTCCTAGGGTCTTGCAGAGCTTTGCCAACTTTTTCCCATCTGGAGGGATGGATACCACTGGGCACCTAGAGTTGGGTACGAGGGTCTGCACCTCGGGACTTGAAAGAGCTTTGCCTTTGTCTGTGCTCTCATACCTTTACAGACCCACCTCTTGTCTTCACGCCGCCCAGGAAGTCCACTTTGCAGTAAGTCTCTCCACCTTCTTGGTCGCTCTGCTTTCCCATTATACACGGCTGGTATCCTCCGCTGCTTCCTTTCCTGCACCTTGGGGGAGGGGTCGGACAGGGAACAGAGAATTGGGGCACAGAGGCCCCAGCATGGGTCTTCTGGTCCTATGATGCTATGCTTTCCCAACACCCACTCCACCATGTTAGTGTTTTTCTCGCTTGCTCTCCCTAGCTCTGATCTGATGTGCTCCAGATCTCCCAAGGTCTGATGCTGGCTCCTGGGAGGGGGACTGGCCACAGACCCTGATCTCCTGTCCCTCTCTAGCTCTGCTCCGGGCTCGGCCAGTCCTGACAGTGTGGCAAAGCTGAAGCTCCAAGGCTCCCCAGCACCCAGCCTGCGCCAGAGTCTGCTCTGGGGAGAGCCCACTGGACCCCTCAGCCCCCCTCCAGATCCTCTACCTAGCCGGGGTCCCTTACCCCTGGAGCCCATTTGCCGGGGCCCAGATGGCCGCTTTGTGATGGGATCTAACCTGGGGGCTCCTCAAGAAAGGTCAGACCACCCAGAGCAGCTGGACCCTCGGACTGCAGCCCTACGTCAGGCCCCGTCATTTGACTGCAGCAGTAGCAGCCCCAGTGGGGCCCCCCAGCCTCTCTGCATTGCAGACATCAGTCCTGTGAGACCCCCTCTGGCAGCCCCACCCAGCCCCCTGCCAGGTCCTGGCCCTCTGCTCCAGTACTTGAGCCTGCCTTTCTTTCGGGAGATGAATGTGGATGGGGACTGGCCTCCCCTTGAGGACCCCAACCCTGTCTCACCCCCACATTACATGGATACCCATCCTTGCCCCACCTCATCTCTCCTTCGGCCCCTGGACTCTCCCCCCGGTTCCCCCAGGACAATGCTCCCTGGGGTTCTAGTAGGGACTGGGACCACCCCAGAACCCCCTTACACAGCATTGACTGACTGGACCTTGAGGGAGCGGCTGCTGCCAAGCCTTCTCCCTGCTGCCCCTCGGGGAAGTCTCACCAGCCAGAGCAGTGGGAGGGGCAGTGCTTCTTTCCTTCGCCCCCCTTCCACAGCCCCCTCTGCAGGAGGTAGCTACCTCAGCCCCGCTCCAGGGGACACCAGCAGCTGGGCCAGTGGTCCTGAGAGGTGGCCCAGAAGGGAGCATGTGTTGACAGTCAGCAAGAGGTGAGGGCAGTCCTTGTCCATCTCTGCCCAGTCCTACCCTCTCGTCTCAGAACTTTTCCCCAATGTTGTTGTCGTTAAGTGCCGTCGAGTTGGATCTCTGTATAGATAGGGTTTCCGAGGAGCAATGGGTGAGTTTGGACCGCCAACTTTGTGGTTCAAACCAACCTTGAAGTTCAGTGTTTATCCTCTGGCACCACACCAGGACTCCTCCCCAAAACATCCCCCCATTTCTCTTCTACTCCCCTCCTGGGGCCATGAGAACTTGTCTTTTTTGTGCTGAGGTTCAGAGATATCTAGCTTTTGATGCAGTGGGTTAAGCACTGGACTGCTAAGTGATAGGTCAGCAGTTTGAATCCATTAGCTGCTCTGTGGGAGAAAGATAGAGCAGTCTGCTCCCATAAAGATTTACAGCATTGGAAACCTACAGAGCAGTTCAACGCTAGCCTCTAGAGTAGCCATGACTTAGGATGCCTAGATGGCAGTGGGCTTGGTTTGTGGGTTTTTGGAGGTGGCACAAGCACTTAACTTTTGGACTACTAGCTGAAAAGTTGGTGGCTAAATCCACCCAGAAGTGCCTTGGAAGACAGGTCTGGCAATCTGCTCCCAAAAGATGAGAGCTCTTTGAAATCCTATGGAGTGCAGTTCTATTGTGCACTCATAGGGTCACTGTGAGTTAGAATTGACTAGATAGATGGGAAGCTGTTTCAAGGGTAAGTGGTGGTGTTTCGGGTTCCCCTTTATGCCTCCATCTACCCACAAATCGGTCCTGTTATACAGGAGGAACACATCTGTGGATGAGAACTATGAGTGGGACTCAGAATTTCCTGGGGATATGGAACTGCTGGAGACCCTGCACCTGGGTTTAGCAGGCCCCCGATCCCGACTTGAAGCAGAGCCAGAATTAGGTGGGTGAGCCCTGGCTTCACTTTTCCACATCCTCTAAAGCCCTAGGGCCCAATCATACCCTGGCCCCCACTGGAGCCCAGTCCAGACTCCTCTGCTCTGGACCATCTCTTGCTCCCACGGCTCATCTGCATTGGAAGACCCTGGAGAGCTTCATGTTTGAGCTTCCACTCTGTGAGCCTCAAGTCCTCTTCCTCCACTCTTTCTCCTGCCCTCCTCTTGCAGGTACTAAGACCCTAGAGGAAAGCTGCCCTCTGAACGCTACTCATGCTCCTGGCCCCGAGGCCCGCTGTGCTGCCCTTCGAGAGGAATTCCTGGCTTTCCGCCGCCGCCGAGATGCCACTCGAGCCCGGTTCCCAGTCTATAGACAGCCAGTTACCCACCCTGAACAGGCTACTCTGCTGTGAACCCCTCTCATATGAGGCTGGGCAAAGACAAATGACCCTGAAAAGGAAGTCCCAATACCTAGCTCCAATCTGGGACGATACCCCACCCCTCTGGTGCCCAGGCACAGACTAAGGGTGGGCTTGGGCAAGGTTTGACATGGGAAGTATGTGCTGATCCCTGGGTGAGTCTGGGGATTGGTTCTTAGGTCTGTCCCTTTTTGTGTGTGTGTGTGTATGTGTGTGTGTGTTGTTTGTGGTATGGGTGAGGTTTTTTACAGGTGAATAAATTCTGAAAAAATGTTTGTGTGTTGTCTGGCCTAAAATCTGTGGGAGAGTTGGGAAAATCCCTGGACCCTTAAAAAGAAGAAGAATCTTTCTGAATGAATAGAGGTGCACTCAACATTCACCCAGAAAGTATTTATCGAGGGCTTAGTGAGGTCCACAACTAACGACCAGCAATTGAGCTAGATGCTGAGAAAATACCGAGTTCACTAAGACATACCTTCTGCCCTTGGGGAGTTCTTTCTAGTCCTTGAGATATGCAGAAATACTTGCATTATGATGTGGTAAGTCCTGTAATGAAGCTTTGTTGCTTATGGTAGCACAAGGAAGGTATTCAGTTCAAGTCAACAAACATTTCATGAGTAGTTATAGCATATACTGCAACACATGCTTTGGATGGATGGATAGCTGGTAGGGTTTCAGAGGCATCCTCACAGAAAGGGGTAATAATAATAGCTAACTTTTGAGCATTCACTGTCAGGTTCTGTTTGTTGTTAGCAAGTCAATACCAACTCATAGCAACCAACCCTGTATTGGATTTCCCAGGATCATCTAGTGGATTCGAATCACCAGTCTTTCGTTTAGCTATCCAGAGCCATACCAGGCTCATTGTTGTTGTTATGTGCCATGGAGTCAGTTCTGACTCATAGCGACCCTGTACAGGGTTCCGAGGCTGTAAATCTTTTACAGGAGCAGAAAGCCTCATCTTTCTCCTGAGGAACAGCTGGTAGTTTTGAACTGCTGACTATGAGATTAGCAGCCTGATTTGTAACCACTACGCTACCAGAGCTCCTTACCAGGCTCATTACATGTATTTAATTCTCCACAATTTTTCGAGGCAGGCATTACTATTAGTCTTATTTTTAATTGACAAGAGTGCTGAAGTCATTTGGACAAAGTCACACAACTGGTAAGTGGTAGAACAGATCGGAAGCCAGTCAAAGAAGAGAAAGTATTCCAGACCACAGAACAGTCTGTAAAAGGTGGTGTGCTGTCAAGCCAATTTGGACTCATAGTGCTGCTGTATAGGGTTTCCAAGGTTGTAAATCTTTATGGGAGTAGAAACCCTCATCTGTCTCCCACTAAGTGGCAGGTGGATTTGAACTGCTTACCCTATGGTTTGTAGCCCACTACACTACCAGAGCTCCTTGTGTAATGACAGATCGAAAACTCTTACCCATCAGGGACTCATTTTGTGGGAGTGGTTCAGAGCTCTACTTTTAACTGAAAAGTTGGTGATTTGACTATGACACCAAGAGGTGTCTTGGGGAGTCCTGGTGTGGCGCTGTGCACTAATGTGTCAGACTGCAAAGTCGTTTGAACTGCAAGGTCGGTGGTTCAAGCTTGCCAGCTGCTCCCTGGAAACCCTATACTGGGTCGTAATCGACCCATGACACTTAACAACAGAGGTGTCTTAGGAGATAGGCCTGGTGATCTGAATCGTCACAGCCTTGAAAGCCCTAAGAGAAACCCCACTGATGAGCAGGTACCTCACCATAGGGAGGCTGCTCAACTGGAGCTGGAATAGGGGTTAGGGTTCCTTCAATCCCTAATCTATGTTGCCCAGATAATGTTCTGGACCTAAAGGTCAGTTTGAACCTCAAGGTTGCCAGTTCAAACTCACCAGCTGTTGCTCGAAAACCCTATACAGGGTCACTATGAGACAGAAGGAACTGACTCCTTGGCACTTAAAATGAATAACAATCCGCAGACACAGCTTTAGAAACAAGAATCTATGCTGATTTGTTCCTCTACGGAGACCTACCTCCCCTTCATATCCCTCCAGGATTTAAGAACGGATGTCAGGTCACAGAGGAGATGAAAGGCGATGAGAAACCCACATGTGAACCCTTGGGTTCTTGAGCAGGGAGTGACCTCACTGTCCGTTCCTGCCCAGGCTTGAAGAATATGGTAAGCAGGACCACGTGGGAGTGCTGTCCTGGCCTGCAAGCCCGGGTCCTGTTGTCACACTCTAGTCAAGAAGGGAAGGGGGTCTTCCTGTACCTTTGTAAACCAGGAGCTCTCTTCCCACTTAAGCACACCCACTCGAGGTATTTGGTCTTGAGCTAACCTCCTAGACCGGAAGTTTCCCACAGGCAGTAGCATGTGCTGGGACACAAGATGCTTTGGGTGGATGTTGTCGTTGTTAAGTGCCGTCAAGTCGGTTCCGACCCATAGAGACCCTGTATAGGGTAGTGAGCTTGAACTAATGACCTTAAGGTTCAAACCGATTTTGCAATCCAGCGCATTAACGCGACACCAGGACTGGGTGGACAGTTGGGGTAAAAGCTGAAGTTCTCTGCAGCAGCCCTTGGAGACCCCAGACTCTCCAGGATCCCTAACCCATGTTCTGGTCCACTGCTCTCCTCTCTTACCACACTCTCCTTGCATCCCAGAGCTGCGGCGCCTTTAAACTCTAGCTGCCCTTGCCCCGCCCCTGGCCCTCCCCGTCTGAAGCGAGAGCCTCCAGAAAACCCCTGGCCGGAGTGCTGCGCGCCACTCGCAGCTGCAGCCCCTTCCTGGAGCGCTCCGGTCTCCTGCCTTCTAGTACGGTGAGAAGGGACTGAGGGGGGATGTGTGCAGGCTGCCAAAAGCTAGGAGCCCGCGTTTGGGACTTGCTTCAGCGTGCTTGGGAATCCAGGGTGGGGGTGGGGGGTCAAGCAAGGGTCCGATGACTGCTCTACCACGCCCCATGCTGTCATCTCCAGTCCCCCGTGCCTGGACCGGGCATTGTTGGGCGATGAGGTCAGGCGAGATTTGCCGGTGCATGGACGGGGCGTCCGTCGTGTACAGTGACTCCGGAGCTGAAACTTACCAGCCAATTCCTCGCGGGGTGGAGGAAGGAAGGGCGTCCAGATGAGCGGGCTGGGCTGAGCTGGTCCGGAGACCCTGGCCTCGCTCCGTGCGACCCATCATTTCTGGGTTCCCGGAGCACGTGTGGGCACTTCCAGTGGTTTGCCTGCGTCCCCGAGCCCGCTCTCTCCATTAATCCTCCTGCCAGCTCACTTTTATGGAGACTAGGGTCACGGACTGGGGCGAGGGGACCCCATGCACAGGTCCCCTAGTGGCCTAGCCTTCCCCAGAGCGGCCCGGGAATGGCGATTTGGATCGATCGCCTCCTAGGAGAGTCCCCTGACCTCAGACAGCCGTGGGCCTGCAGCCCAGACTGCACCCCGAGTGCCCTGCTTGTGTGAGGTGGGGCTGGCTGCTTTCCAGGGACTGCCCGAGCTCGGCTGTCCCCCGCCCCGTGTCCCCCGCTGCTGGGAAAGCCGTCGGTGGCCGCGGGCGGCGGGCGGGCTGCCCAGACCACTGCGTCACCCCAGTGTTAGGCGGGCGGTGGGTGACTCATTCGGCAGTAACGGTCTGGGTGTGGCGGTGGAGTGGGGGGCGGCTTTGGGGGCAGGCCGAGCCGGACCGGAAGCAAACGGTCTCCTTACCGCTCTCTGCAGGCCTCCAAGAGCTAGTAGTAAGCAAGTTCTGGGCTAAAGTGGGGTGGGACTGGGTGTGGAGACTCTGTGTAGGAAGACCTGTGGCTTGGACGGGACTCCCCCTAGTTTCTCCAGAGCACCAGACAAAGCGACAGCTCCCCATTTCTTTTTCCTAATTCCATAACCCAAACTCATTGCCATGGAGTCCACAAGGGAGATCTAACACTGCAGAGGCGGCCAAGGTAGGGCGGGGTGCAGGGCCCTACCATTCCAGAACCAACAAATAATCTTTGTCCAATGGCTGCCCTCTGAGGATTGGCCTCTGATCTTTCCTTCAACTCCATTTACCCTCCCACCAGAATTTGCAGGTATGGGGCTCTCTTGCTCAGGACACACTTTAGGTTTCCAGGGCATTTCTTCTGAACTATTTCCTTGAGTCTCCTTTTCTATCCCCAAACTTCCCATCTCCTCCAAATGCCCTCCACAGCTGCTTCCTTGAGGAATCCTTTGTACCTGGCTGTACCGAGAACCTTTCCCCAGGCCCCCACCTCTGCACCATGTGCTCAATCACCTCACCACGCCATCCATCCACGTTGAGTGTGCGCTTCTGCCTGGCACCCCCACCCTGCCCCCACTCCTGTGTTTGGTACACAGAAGCCATGGCAACAGTCCCCACTTCACCCCCTCCTCCTACACAAATCTTGCGGCTTCCTGTTTGTGTAAGTTCAGCTTTCTCTTCTGCTCTTGACTCTTGACGGCCAGGGGGCTTCCCTACGGGGGTCCCCAAATCAAAGGTTTCCTATCATCCTTGCTTGTTCCCTGTAACATTTTATTTTGTGGGCAGGTGTTCTTGGCACTCTTTCAGTCCCCGATACGAGTTGGGACTTTTCCCTGGGTCCTGTTCCCAGTGAATGGATAGCCCCTTTGTCTTTTTCCCAGTTAAGCACTCAAGTGCCCATCCGGGAACCCTCAAGGCCCGTCCCCACCCCCTCCCGCCTTGCCTGGTCCGCCTAGCCTGGTCCGCCTTGCCTTGGGGTGAGGTAAGCTTCCAGCCCAGGGTCTGGGTGGGGCTGACTGTTGAAAGCGCTTCTTGTGGCTCCTCCCCCTTTCTTTACCATTGTAATCCTGTGGATGGGGGCGGTGAGAGTTGTTCCCACAGCTGTAGTCTGCTCTCCAACTTGCTCACTTCCAACCTACCCCCCAAGTCGTCCAGCTGTTGTCTTTCCTGGGATCCCCAGCTCTGGGCATCTCCCACGCCTGCCTCCCAGCTGGGTATCTCCCTTTGCCGCACTCTGGTAGGTGATTTGCTGTTTTCCCTTATTTTAAGGGAGGGCAGGATCTGGTTCCCAGGGTGTCTGTCGACTGGGTGGGCCTCTCTAATTCCAGCAGCCACAGCCCATCAGCTCCTGCCTGATCATGGGGGTGGGGCAGAGAAACAGCTGGCCGCCAGGCTGGGCCCAGCTGGGCCCACCTCTTTGCAGAGCTCTGCCCTGTGACTCTAGCACTTTAAAGCTCTAGGACAAAGGCCCCAGAGTGGAGCAGAGATCCTACAGCTGGAGACTTTGGCCCTGCCAGCTGTGTCCAGGTTTCAGAATGGGAGAGGCCCCACAGCATCCATCCACTCTCTTCTGCCCTTGTGCCTGGGAGGTGGGCCTGAGAAGCAATCTGCCCCTCCCTTGAAGGGACACTGGCAGGATCTGGCTTCAGTCCCTGCTCCCCCCTTCTAACCCTGTTGTCTGGGTTAATTATTCTCTTGCCCTTGCTTTCCCTGTGTCTTAGTGAGCCCTGGGCCTCAGGCCACTCGGCTCCATGGGGCTCCATGGAAACACAGCCGTAAGCCCAGGTGACCACATTGAAACTGCTCCCAGAAGAGAGGTCTGGACAATTGGGCAGGGAATAGGGGGCTGACTATAGCAGCAACCTCGAGCCCCCTTCTCACTCTGCCAGTCTTCCAGCCATTCCCCACTGCATTACAGGTTATAGACTTATTTAGATTAAGTGGTGGCTGTGGACAAGCTCTGGTGGCACAGTGGTTAAGTACTCAGTGTTAACTGAAAGGTCAGTGGTTCAAATCCACCAGCTGCTTCAAGGGATAAAGATGTGACTGCCGGCTTCTTTAAAGATTACAGGCGTAGAACTATGGGGCAATTCTCCTGTGTTTTATAGGGGCTCTGAGTTAGAACTGACTTGCCAGCAAAGGGTTTTGGTGGCTGAAGCGGGAATGTGCTGAGCAGTTGGACTGGGCTAGGCTAGGGAGGGATGGAAGCTTGTCTTTCTTTTTCCTCAGGCCTCAGCCATTCAACCCGTCTGGCTGCTGGTATAGATCAGGGCCCAGACCACATTCATCTGGACCAGCTTTCAGCCTAGGGGAAGTGGGGGGGTAGGGTGGGTTACTCTTAATGAGGTTTAAAAATAACTGATTAATGGGGAGGTTCTCTGCCTGAAATGTGCGGCTCCTTGAGACTGGGAAGGAGCGGCCATGTTGGAGTCTGAGGGAAGTGGTTGGCCTGAGACACACAACCCCTCAGGCTGAAAGTGTGTCCTAGGCTCTGGCGCTGTTGAGAGTGTTAGCCAGCTGCTGCTTTTGTGGCCTGGCTTCTAGTACTGCCGGCTGAACCCTGAGGCCCATTGTGGGGGTGGCCGGATTGTTTGACCTGAAGTGTGTGGGAGGAAGGAGGCCAGAGTGACTTCATCCTTTCAGTCTAACCTGGCTTGGCCTGGAACCAGAGGTGTGGAGAAAGGGCAACTCCCTTTCCTCTCCTTGTCCATAGGTCCTGGGGGAATCCCCTTTTGTGAGCAGCCAGAAACTTAGCTCTATTGCAGAGCTTAAAGAAGAGTCTGTCCAGGGAGGGAAGGGGTCAGGGACTGTAGAACACTGTCCCTTCTCTGGTTCCAGCTCCCCCAGGGATCCAGCAGCACTCCTTGGGCTTGCTCAACAGGTACCTTGGGTGTGGGACCCAGGTAAAGACGTGGTGGTTGGGGACAGGCTGCCAGCAGAGAGCTGCTGCCAATTCAGACCAGTGGTCAGGAAACCACCCAGTTCTTACTGACCAAAGTCCTCAAACTAAGTTAAAGAAACCTTCCTGTGTACTTCCCCAGACTTCCTGCTCTTCCTAGGTTTCCCTAGAATACATATCCATAATACATTATCCTGGTGTGGTGCTGTATGATAAGCAGTGGACTGCTACCTGAAAGATCATCAGTTCAAACCTACCAGCCAGTCCTGGGAAAACCTATACAGGGTAGCTATGAGTCAGAACCAACTTGATGACCTTTAACAACAATAATAAAGCATAGTTGTAGTATAGCAGTTATATATCAGTCCCTGGAGAAGGACAGCAGTCTTGGTGCAATGGAGGGGTCAACAGAAAAGAGGAAGACCCCCAATAAGATGGATTGACACAGTGGCAGCAACAATGGGCTCAAACATAATAATTGTGAGGAAGGTCAAGGTCTGGGCAGTGCTTTATTCTGTTGTGCACAGGGTCTCGATGAATCTGAACTGACAAGACAGCACCTAACAACAACAACATAGTTGTAGAGATCAGCAGTTTGTCGAGGGTCTCATTGGGTTGACAAGGCTACATTCCTCTCAGTGGCTCTAGGGGAAACTGTTTTCTTGCCTTGTCCACTTTCTACAAGCCTCCTGCATTGCTTGGCTCATGGTCCTGCATCACTGCAGCCTCTACTTCTGTCGTCACATGTCTATCTCTGATTCTGACTCTGACTTCCCTCTTTTACCTACAAAAAAGACCTTTGTGATTACTTTGGGCCACCTGGAGAATGCAGGATAATGTCCTCATTTCAAGGTCCTTAATTTATTTGTACTTGCAACAGAAAGAAGGTAACAGTCACAGGTTCTGGGAATTAAGATGTGGACATCTTTGGAGGCTTTATTCGATATGCCACAGCTTCTAGGAGGGAAAGTAGAATCCATTTTTATTGTGTAGCTTTTCCCATGAAATTCTTTTTGCCTGCCGAGATTCATTAAGGCCCTATTCAGACCTACCTCTTTCAGGAAGCCCCCAGACTGCTTCTGCCCCTCTTCTTCTCTGAATCCATTCCTACAGCATGTGGTCTAATTGTGTATAGTCTTTACCCTTCCATATGACTCTGGCATGGCACTCTGGACCAATTTAAAACAAAACTGGGCAACTCTATCCTTTCCACATCCCTAGCATGAATAGTAAGTGCTCAATGAAAATTCAGTGGTGATCCATCTAGCCCTACAACTTCTAGCCCAGGTTTCCCAAGATGCTTCATCTTCCTCCTTCTTTCCCAGAACCGTCATCTTTTCAGGGCTTTAAAGAGCAGGCTTGGGGGATTAGAATGACCAGTTTGCCTATGCTCAAGCTGACCAACCCAAATGTGGGGTTGAACCTCCAATCTTGGTTTTATGTACCACTTATTCTACTCCAGTGAGTTTTATACTTCGTTCTAGCAGTAGAATTATTGGTTCAAATGAACTATAATAGGAATTCATAGATAGTCTATGGTGTTAAGAAGAGCTTTCCAAGGTACGGCAGCACGTCTAGTCCCCACCCCTGGGGCTCACCTGGGGTGAGAGGGGAGGATATTGTGTGTATCCCTGTAAGCAGAGCGCTCCACATCATTGGCTGCAGAATGCTGACCCCCAACCTGGGTGTGTTCTCCCCCCAGTTCCCCACAGCCACCACTACCCTTCAGAATGGCCAACAGGGGACCTGCCTATGGCCTGAGCCGGGAGGTGCAGCAGAAGATTGAGAAACAGTATGACCCAGACCTGGAACATATCCTGATTCAGTGGATCGCCACCCAGTGCCGCAAGGATGTGGGCCGGCCTCAGCCTGGTCGGGAGAACTTCCAGAACTGGCTCAAGGATGGCACGGTGAGAGTTGGGCCCTTCTGTAGGCTGGAAGTGCCAGAGAGCAGGACAGGGAGTGGGGGCCTGGGGATTGTTCATCCGGAAGCAGAGAAGGTAAAAGGCACTCCATTTTGATTTCTCCCTTAACCTGGACATCTTGCTTTCCTTCCTGCCCACTGAGTGAATGGTAAGGAGGAATGTGTTCCTTCAGTGGGAAGGACCTATGTGATTCATAAGAATATCTCTAAGAACAACAGGAGACTGTGCTCTAGTCAGAGGGATTTTGGAATAGAAAGAAAAGAATAGACACTGGCTTTTCATTCTGGACTCAGAATCACAGGGCTGGACAAAAAGGACCTTTGAGGTTCACTCCAGATGAAGGAGCCTGTGTTATCTTCAAGCACAAGAGGAACCTCTCTGGTCCACGGCTGCTGGAGGTAGCAGTGCTGACTTGGTAAGCATGTCTTTACCTCTTCTCACTTGCTCTCTGTCACTCAGGTGCTTTGCGAGCTCATTAATGCGCTGTACCCTGAGGGTCAGGCCCCGGTAAAGAAGATTCAAGCTTCCACCATGGCTTTCAAACAGATGGAGCAGATCTCTCAGTTTTTGCAAGCAGCTGAACGCTATGGCATCAATACCACTGACATCTTCCAGACTGTGGACCTCTGGGAAGGTGGGCCAGGGATAAGGCCTGGGGCTGCTCTCTGGGAGACCAGAGACTTGGCTGGACTGTTTTAACAAGAGACAGAGGGGTGTGTGTGTTTGCGTTATGGGAGAGTTGGCCATGTTCTGGGTAGGGGTAAAGGTGGGTATGGGGAGGAAGAATAAATAGGAGCCCAGGCCTGTTGACTGAGTGATGGATGTGAGACCCTAATATCTAGGACCCCAGCCCTGCTGGGAGCCAACTCATCCCCCTTCTCCTTCCCAGGGAAGAACATGGCTTGTGTACAGCGGACATTGATGAATCTGGGAGGGCTGGCAGTAGCTCGAGATGATGGACTCTTTTCTGGAGACCCCAACTGGTTTCCTAAGTAAGTATTGCTGGGACAGCTGTAAGACCAGGGTAGGCACAATGTCCTTGCCCACTCCTGTCCCTAGGGGACAACTGATGTTTCCATAGTACCAGCCCTTTACCAAATGCTTTCTCATTTCTCATTCACTAAATCCTTATAACTCCCTGGGATGGCAAGTGATTGTCTCCTTTGAGATATGAGATGAGAAGGTGGCTTCAGACAGCTTAAGGCTCTCCAGGGCAGAGTTGGAGCTAGCACTGGGCCCACAATAAAGCCTGTGCTCTGTCCAGGGGAGGGCGTTGCTTGGACAATCTTTGATCTTATAACCCATCTCTCTCTTCCCACCAGGAAATCCAAGGAGAATCCTCGGAACTTCTCAGACAACCAGCTGCAAGAGGGCAAGAACGTGATAGGGTTGCAGATGGGCACAAACCGCGGGGCATCTCAGGCAGGCATGACTGGCTATGGGATGCCACGCCAGATCCTCTGATCCTGCCTCCACCCTTACCCCACCCCTGATGCTCTACCCTCCGTGAATGGTTAATATATATAAATTTTTTTTTTTTTTAAAGCAGCGACATTCCCTGAGAGCCCCTGTAGGCCTCTACCAGGGTTGGGGACTAGACTGGCCTGTCTTCTCTGGAGAGTCCCAAAGGTGGCCTCTCCCATACTTACTAATACATTGCCATTCCCTTCCCTAAATTCCCCTAAACTGGACCAACTAGCCTCTTTTTTCTTGGGACCAAAATTTGGGGGTTCTCCCCCAGTTCCCCTTCTCTTTCCCTCTGATCTCTCTTTCCCTTGGGCTCTGCCCTCAATCCATTCCTGGGCTGGGGGTCAGGGGCACCACCTCCTGGCTTTCTGATGCTGGACTGACCTTCCTTCCATAGGCTGTGGCTGCACAGATTTAACTTATAGGGAGGGACCATGGTGGCTGCCACTTCAGCCACAGCTGGACTTTGTTCACCACACATCTGGGGCAGCCTTCCCCAGCAGAGGCCCTCTTGACTTATTTTCCATTCCCCTTGCTGTGGCTAAGGGGTGGCGGTGAGGGGACAGAGGAGGGGAGGGCTGCCCACCATGCTCTGGGCCTTAAGGAATGTGAGTTTGCTGATTTGAATAAAGAATCCCAGTCTTTTTTGGATAGACTCTGACTGTGTCTGGAACCGCCGTGCCCACTGTGGAGAAGGGAGGAATACTGGGAAATGGGCAATGCCTGGTGCAGGGGATGAGGGCTTCGAGATGAAATGTGGCAATGAGAACTCCCTTTTAGCTTTCATCCTCTTCCTGCCTCATTGGTATAGGTGAAGGCGGATTGGGATTGGGAAGAGATAAGAGCTCACAGCTGACCTTGGACTGAAGGCCACAATGCAAGGTGTGCTAGCAGCGTCCCCAGAGAGGTGAGGGCCTCAACTATCCAGTGACTTTGGAGTGGGGCAATCTTGACTGGAGCTCCCGGCTGGCCTCCTCCCTCCAGCTAGAGCCGATTCTCAGTCACTGTGTTGGCACAACCCTGAGATCTGGGAGGCCTCTTGGGTAGGCTTGGGGCAAGGTGACTTTTGTTGGTATTGGCCAGACCAATTTAGGGGTTAGGGAGAGACTGAGGAGGACATGGCAAGCCAGCTGGGGAATGGGCAACAGTGGGCTGGTGGAGATAGCTGGAGGGAGGAATCCTTATTAATTTGTTCCAGGCAATCAATTCGGGGGTCCGTTGTCTCCAGTCCCTGGGGGACAACTCGTAGTTTCCAATGGTGCCGTAGGACAAACGCTCGACCTCTAGGTTGACTTGAACTGCAAGGTTGGTGGTTCAGACTCACCAGAAGTTTTCGGAAACCCTATCCATAGTCACTATGAGTCAGAACCGACTTGATGGCACACAACAACCAAAAACCAGTTGTCTGGTTAAAAACCTGTGCTCTACAGGGTTTTAAATGACTGAGTTTTTGAAAGTAGATGCCAGACCTGTTTTGTGAGGTGTCTCTAGGTGGACTCAAACTGCCAATCTTTGGTGTCACCTTTATCACATAGCTTTCCAATCAGACTCTGCTTTCCACAAAACTTGAAGGACTTGATTTGCCTCCCACATCAGATAACCCCAAGGTCTTGGCCTTCATTACCTCCCTCTCCCCCTTCCTACTTTAGAGCATTTCTATCTCTTTAAGGGAAAAGCCACTACCCGGTGCCAGACAGTGTAGTGACTTATAACCAGAGTTTTCATTCTCCTATCCTTGTGTGGTCCCTCTCCCTCACATGCCCCCCTTTGCCAAGAAGCACCTACTATATGCTGACTCCATGCTGGCGTTTTCCATGTACCATCAGCTCAGTGGCTCTCAGCCTTATCCACAAACACCACAGGAGAAATATTGGCACTCATGCTGAGCTCCCATGGGTTGCGGCACAGATAAGATAGGCTAAAGCTTATGTACAAATTCCCATTGGATTTGCTGTCACAAGGACCTTTTATCTCCCATTCAGGAAGGCTTTGTGGAATGCAAGTGAGTGAGAATGATGTCATTGAAGAGAAAACATTGGACTGACGGATATTTGTACTAGAAAGCAAATCACTTGCAACCTTCCCTAACTTAACTATTGTTGTTGTTGTTATGAGCGACCCTGTACAGGGTTTCCAAGGCTGTAAATCTTTACTGGAGCAGAAAGCCTCATCTTTCTCCCTCAGAGCAGCTGATAGTTTTGAACTGTTGACCTTGTGATTCAGAGCCCAATTCGTAACCACTAAGCTACCAGAACTCCCTACTTAACTATTAAGAGTTGCAAATTATTGGCCACACACCTCACAACTTTCTGAGACACAACAGTATGCCAGGGTACCAAGACAGAACCACTCTATATTTCTATTTGATCCCCACTGTAGCCCGAGAGGTGGTTATGACTCCACCATTTCCCCATTTTGTCTGTAGATGAAGACAATGGGCCCAGAAAGGACATCATTTGCCTAACACTACATAGTGTATAAGGTGAGGGGCAGAGGTTCGAGCTCAGATCTCCCAGGCTGTCAACCTGACTGAACTGTGTTGTTCCAGGATCAACAAGAAATAGGCCTGGGAGTTTGAAAAAAGAGGGCTCCTCAACTGTAAACTAGAGATAAGTCCTCATGGGGTAGTTTAGGATTACCTGAGACCCTAGGTAGAAGTGTCTAGAATATAAGTGCTCTAGACTTATGTCGAGAGAAAGAGAAGGGTGATTATGCCCAGCCCTTCATCAGTGCCCCAAAATGACAAGAGTGGCCCTGCCCTCCACTCCCTGAAATAACTTACCCCTGTAGGATAAGCATTGCACTGGAAGGTTAGTTCAAACCTCAAAGTCGGTGGTTCAAACCCACCAGCTGCTCCACAGAAACCCTATTTGTTGTTTAGTTGGCGCCCACCCATAGCGACCCTGTATAGGATTTCTGCAGAACGGCAGGTGAGCTTGAATGGCAGTTTGAACCTTGCGGTTCAAACAGCATTGCAGTCTGGTGTATTAACCCCCAGAGCCACACCAGGACTCCAGAAACCCTAAACCCTATACAGGGTTGCTGTTAGTTGGAATTGACTCAATAGCACTGAACAACAGCAAGGTCAAATACCTAATGGATTTGAAGGGCCTCAGCTGTGGGACTGTGACTACTTCAGGACAAGAAGTTCTGTCAGGAATCTTGCTATGCCCCCTTCCTTAATCCCTCTCATTGCATATTCAACTCCCTTGGAGCTGAATTAATTTTAATTTAATTAATTTAAATTTTAAATTTCTTTTCTTTTCTTTAAATTTTATCCTATCTGAAGTCACAGTTTCATCTCTAATTTGGCCTTCCTTATCTTTGCTGGTAGTTCAGGCCATGGGCCCAAAGGAAGAGCTCCTCTGTATGGCTCCCTCTTGTGCCATTGCCTCACACCCTGTGTCCCCCCTACTGTTTCCTAACACTCTGCACTTTGCTTCCAGAGCTTGCTCTATCTCTTTCCGCTCTTTATTCAAATATTTTCTTTCAAGTGAGTCCTTCCCTGACCACCTAACCCCACCCAGAGACTTTACCTTATCTTCCTTCCCTGCCATATTTTATCACCACCTGATACACAATATACAATGCACCTTTTTGTTTATTTTCTGTTTCCACCCAGAGAACATACACTACACAAGGGCAGGCTTCTTGTTGATTTTGTTTACGTAGAACAGGGTTTGACATTGTAGGTGCCAGGTAAATATTTGTTGAATGAATGAAGGAATGAATATTATACTGTCCTCATGCTTCTGCATCCCCCTGGTCTGGTGACATGGTGTCCAACTAGTCTGGGGCATCTCAAACCCAGCCTGTCACTGGATCTGAGATGGCAAGCTACCAAGACTTCCAATTTTTATTTCCAAAGGTAAAAAAGTTAGAAGCTGGGCTACCTACAGCTAGAGGGGTGGAGATTGGGAAGGAGACAGAGAGTGGTGTACTTTGGGGCAAATGGAAGGAGCTTTGAGGATTTGGGAAGAAAAAATTGGAGGAGAGCAGAAAAAAGAGGTAGAAGCCAACCCGGTTCGTTTGCTCTTTATCTTTAGTCTCCAAGTGGAAAATCACTGTGGAGGTGGAGAAAAAAGTAGAGTTGGCTTTTGGTAGCCAATGGAAAGTGGATTCGGGGGAGGAAGAGCGAGGAGGAAGAATAGGAGAAGAAAAGGGATTTTAGAAGCTCCACCCAGTTTGGCTCACCTGTAGGCAAAAAGCATAGGTGTGCAGAAGCCTATTCATCTTTGTGTGAGTGTTCTTAGAGGTGTGTGAGAATTTACAGTGCTAGGGCTCCAGGGGAGGAGATGGATGGGTCTGGACCCTGTGTGGAGACCTGACTATTGGTATGTGATAACCAAGGAGAGGTGTGTGTCCTGTGTGCGTAGGCGGCAGTGTAAGCATCTGTGTCTGTATATGGCTCTGTGGAGAACAATATGTCCCATTTCTGCTTCTTCAGCTGAGAGAGGCCTTTGAGAGTTTGGCAAAAGGCCCAAGGAGCAGTGGAACAAGGAAAGGGCTGGACTATATTGGGCTCCAGAGAGAGAACAATAAAGGGTCTGGATTAAATTAGTTGGAGAAAAGGCTAAAGGGTAAATTAGTAACTGTCTTCTTGAAAAGAAGTGTTTTTGGTCCCAGTAGCCAAGGAGATAGAAGTTGCAATTAGAGAAATTTAGGTTAGACAAAGAAAAACAATCCTCTAGATATTAAAAGTTATTAGCCTATGCAATCTCTTAAGGGTCAGGAAGAATATCTTTGATAATAGAACAGAACTCATCTTCTTAAACTGGAAATTGAGCAGCTCTGTCTGGCACACACACACTCATGTGTTCATTCATTCAGCAATTATTAAGATTCTACTCTGTGGCTCTGTAGAATAAAGCACTGCGGCAAGTTTGGTTTGAACCGCAAGGTTGGCGGTTCAAACTCACCAGCCGATCCTTGGAAACCCTGCATAGGGTTGCTTAACAACAACTCTATGGGGATTATAAAGAGTATTAAGACATGAT